CGACACTGAGGGTTGCGATCTGTTGCCAGTCACGAAAAAAGACAAAAAGGGAAAAAAAAAAATTTAACATCGTGGGACTATTGTGTATAGTTACATGCTAATAATAATGAAAATCATGTGGCTGGTTTTCCAGAAAAATACAAAATCCCCCAAAATTGAAAGGCTAAGTGAACTGATAATCATGGAAGAAATACTTGCTGGCATTTTGTCCACATTGTTTTACTGTAATTTATTTCAAACTTTTAAGAGATATTCGTATAATACAGAAGGCATGTGGAACACTACTCAACTAATTTTGTTCAGCTATTGGTAGCCTAATACTAAACATGACCCAGACGGCCAAAACTATAGAGTGCTAGACTCTCCACCTTTCCTTCCCTTCTCATAGCCCCTGGCCAATCTCTTTGCCTAACTTCTGAATTACAGCACATTCTCAGCAGGTCAGAGTGGTTCTTGGCACTCCAGCTCTTGGTCTTCAAGAAATGGTTACTCATTTTCTCAAAGAGTCTTTTGACGTTGTTGCTCTTTGTGTCTGATCGTGGCAGGGGTCCCAATTTTCTCAGCTGTGAATCACCCTCCCCATGCATTTGCACCGAGGCTAACAACACCAGGCTCACTTGTCCAATATGAAGGGAGAAGGGAGATTGTCCCAGGGACTGTACCTGAGTGCACGTCAACATTCACTTCTGTGGTCATTAAACTCGAACACAGGGAAAAAAGCCATTTACATTTCCCCTTCTGTTGCTCTTACTCATGTCAATGGCTTCGAACTTGAATCATGTGCATTTTCCAGCAAGTGTCATTAACCCAGTTTAATTCGTTAGAACTAGGTGCATACTCAAAACAAGGTAGGAATTGCTTTACAAAGAAAGCAGGGAAAGAAAAATGTTAAAGCTTTCTTTCATCGTGGTCCAGATTAACTTAAAACATTGATTTCTGTATTTCATCCTTGGCTAAGTTGCACTGTGGAAACCCCAAAGTCTTAGTGGCTAACGATAAGGGTTTATTTCTCACTCAAATCCCGTGTCCTTTGTGGGTGGGCTGAGAGTCTGCTCACGTGTGTTGATTCCAGGACCCAGGATGCTGGAGCAGCCCCACGTGTAAGTACTTTGTAGCAGGATATACAATGGCTCTGAAGTTTGTCCCTGGACTTTTGTCACTTTCATGTGTTACTCTCACTGTCATTTAGTTGGTCAGTGCCCAGTGTTAACAGGCAGGGAGATATAATCCTCTCACGGGGGGGGGGGGGAGACAAATAATTGGAAATAATACAACCTGTTACAGTCCACACCCTTGCTCATAAATATTCATTAGCGTCCCTTCAGCCACAAAATGTACTCATCCCCTCCCCGGGAGAAACATCCCCAAAGTCTCATCCAATCACAACATCGGACTGAAGATCTAGAATCCCATGAAATAGATCAGATCCAGCTGAGGCTCCTCTTCTTCTGGAGACATGGGTAGTAAAAAGGCACATTCAACCTATAGTGGTGGACCAGGGTCAGGCCAACCACCAAAAACATTCCCCTCCAGAAAGCAAAAACATGGGAGACACACAGCTGTCAGAGGCTCAGAGCAATTTTGAAATCCTGGTGGACACACGCTGGGATAAGGAATGCTCCATGATGGGATGCTAGCTCTGCTTCATGGAAATTTCTCTTGATTTCATTGTTTTCCATGATTCCCAGCTTCATCCAGCCTCCAGTAACAGTTTTCTCTGCCTCTTCCTTCTCTCCTTCCTTCTTCCTTTCTGCCACAAAACAAGTCTCAGTACATTTAAAAAGACTAAGATCATACAAAATACATTCTCTGACCATAATAACAGAAGGAAATTTAGAAAATTCACATGTGTGGAGATTAAACAACACTCTCCTAAATAAACAATGAGTAAAAAAATAAAAATCACAGGGAGGTTAAGAGAGCACTTTGAGATAAAAATCAAAGCATAACATATCAACATTTATAGGATGCAGGGCTCATGCAGCGCTTAGAGGAAAACTTATACTGGTAAACACCTATATTAAAAATAAGAAAAATCTCAAACCAGTAATGTAAATTTCTACCTAAAGAAAATAGGAAAAGAAGAGCAAACTAAACCAAAAGCAAATATAAGTAGGAAATAACAAAGATTACAACAGAAATATTTGAAATAGGTAATTTAAAAGCAATAGAGAAAATCAACAAAACCAAATGTTGATTCTTTAAAAATATCAACAAAATTTGCAAACCTTTATCTAGATGACCAAGAAAAAAAGGGAGAAGACTGAAATTACTAAAATCAGAAATACATAAGGGGCATTATTACATTGTCATTATGGTTTTTCGTGGTGGTAAGATTTAGTTTCCTTCTCTTTCTCATTTGCATTTTTGTTCTACCAGTGCGTTTGGTTCTCTCTTGTGTATTCGTGGTAGCAATTATTGTTTTTCAGATTCCAGATGCAGGACTTCCTCAAGGATTTTCTTGTATGGCTGGTTGTGTGGTAGTGAACTCCCACAGCTTTAGTTTGTCTGGGAAATACACTATTTTTTCCCTAATTTCTGAAGGATAGCTTTGCTGGATACAGTATTCTTGGCTGGCAGTTTTGTTTTCTTTTTTTTCTTTTAATATTTTGAATATATCCTCCCATTTTCTTCTGGCCTGTAGAGTTTCTGTTGAGAAGTCTGCTGTTAGTCATCATGATAGGGGCTCCCTTATAGGTGACTTGATGCTTTTCTCTTGCGTCTTTTAAGATTCTCTTTCTCATTGAGCTTTGCCAGTTTGACCATAATGTGTCTTGTAGAGGATCTTTTTTTTTTTTGTCTTTTGTCTTTTTTCCGTGTCCGGCAACGGATCGCAACCCTCAGTGTTGCCCCCGTACCGGACCGGGACCGGCAACGGGATTGCAAGCCTCGGCGTTGCTCCCGCGCCTCGCTCAGCCAGTGAGCGGGAACCGGTCTGTATGTGGGATCTGAACCCTCGGGCGGGAGCGCCGCCGCGCTTCCCAAGCGGCGCACTTATCCAGTGCACCACCGGGCCGGCCCATAGAGCTCGGGCGGGAGCGCCGCCGCGCTTCCCAAGCGGCGCACTTATCCAGTGCGCCACCGGGCCGGCCCATAGAGGATCTTTTTGGGTTGAATCTGTCTGGGATCTTTGAACCTCCTGGATCTGAAGGTCCGTTTCTCTCCCTATACCTGGGAGGTTTTCCATCATTATTTAACTGAATATGTTTTCCATGCCTTTTCCTTTTTCCTCCCCTTCTGGAACATCCATGATTCGAATGTTTGTGTGCTTAAGGTTGTCTGCTCTGCTAGCTCTCTCTCATTTTCTTCCTTTTTTAAAATTCTTTTTTCCTTTTTTTGTCCACCTGGATTATTTCAAAAAGACTATCTTCAAGATCAGAAATTCTTTCTTCAGTTTGTTCTAGCCTGCTGCTTAAGCTGTCAGTTGTGTTTTTTATTTCATTGAGTGAATCTTACAGTTCCATGAGTTCTGCTTTCTTTTTTAAGGTATTAATCTCTTTGTAAATTTCCTTTCATATCCTGGACTTTTTTTTTTTCATTTCATCATGTTGTCTAACTGAGTCCTCTTGTATCTCAGTGAGTTTCCTTAAGATTGTTGCTTGGAATTCCTTTTCAGTCATTTCAAGAGTTTCCTGCTCTGTAGGGTCTGGTATTTGAAAATTATTATATTCTTTTGGTGGTGTCATATTTTCTCGGGTTTTCATATTTCTAGTATCTCCAAGTTGATGTCTGGTCATCTGGTAGAGCAGTTGTTTCTTGTATTACTCTGGAGTGGGCTTTTAGGAAAGATATGTCCTCTTCTTTTTCCAGTATCTGCTGGTAACTCTCCTTGTGTCAATGCATTTGAGTGTCTGGCAGACCACCTGTATGGTGACTGTGACTACTACTTTGACACTGAGATGCTTTTGTAGCAGCCGTGGCTGTGGTTGGCCACCTGCGCAGAAGTGGTGTTTTTGTCATGCTCTCTTGCCTGCTTCTGGGTGGGGGGTGGCTGCCCTCAGCTCCTTCCAAGGACCCTGGGCATGTTCTCTTGCCTGCTTCCACGCAGAGGGGGCTGCCCTTGGCTCCTGCCTAGGACCCCCAGGTGTGCTCTCTTCCAGTTTTCTCATTTTCCACTGCCTGACCCTGGAACCAATGCATCATATTTTAAAATTTTTGTTATGGTATCCTCTCACTGGTATGTAGTAATTTCTGTATTTTTTTACTTAGACCAACAATGGTCTTAGTTATTCAATAGTAGCAAACAAACCCAAAATCCCTATGGCTAATAAAAACAAAGCCTATTTCTTCCTCACTCACTTGTCCTTTGTGGGATAGCTTTAGGTCTTATCCACGTTATCTTCATTCTGGGATCCCAGCAGAAGGAACAGCCCTTGTGTGGGGCATGCTGTGCATATTGCAGAGAGGAAAGAACAAATGATGGGGCCACACAATGACTCTTAACACTTGTGATTGATGGTTGCATATGTGACATCTACTCACATTTCATTGGCCGAGAAAGTGACATGACCGAACCTGGTAGAGTGGGAAATGCAGTCCTCTCCCTGGGAGCAGTAGGACATAACTGGGAATTCTGCACCATCCCTTCAGCTGCTCTTCTTCATAAACATGGCTTTGAGCTTGTGTCTTATCTTGTTAAACCAAGATACATTCTTAAAGCATGATGGGATTGCTGGCTTCTTAGTAGATTGTACAGGTTTTAGAAGCGTATGCACTGTATGAAGTGGGACACACTCTAAAGCACATGAGAAGTGAGGGTTGACAGCAGGTGGCTGGGTGAGCAGGAAACCACACTAGCAGGTAGCATTTTTTCTCCAAGAGTCTAAATTGAGGGGCTATGTTCCTCTCACTGTATTCCCAGTAGATTCCTGCAGGTTTACAGCTGTGCTTGGAGCTGAGCAGGATGGAAACTGATCATCTGATATCCTGAGAAGCCGAAGCAAGTCTCCGTGGCCCAGTTCTCGTCCCTGGTGACTTCTCACTGCTCTTTATCTCCACAGTTTGACATGCAGAGGATAACGCTGGAGGAGTTGAAGCACATTCTCTATCACGCCTTCCGGGACCATTTGACGATGAAGGACATCGAGAACATCATCATCAATGAGGAGGAGAGCCTGAACGAGACCTCGGGGAACTGCCAAACAGAGTTTGAAGGAGGTAGGAGCCCAGCCATGCCCCTCTCTGGCCTGGGACAGGCCAGCGCCTCCGTGCAATCCACATGAAAAATGTGTGAATGTCTCCTGGGCTGACGTGGCCTTAGACGGAAGCCAAAAATCCAGGACTGGGGTTAAAAGATCCTTTCTGCAAGGATGCAGTGGATTTCTTTTCTTCTGCTTTTTTCTCCAAGCTCTGCATTTTTGCAGAACCACTATTGACCCTGTCCTTCCTCTAATGACTCTCTGGAGTCTGCAACTGGATGTGTGGCTTTGTGGTGTTTGCCTTTGCTGGGTGGGGGCTGTGTGGGGTGGTGGGAGGAAGCTGTTTAGGCCACTGGCAAACTTGGATAAAGTCTACTGGCTAATTGTGTGACCTTGGGCAAGGGGTGTACCTTCTCTGTGTTTCCTCATCTATAAATATCAGGATAATTGCACTTGCTTCACTGAATCCTGAGGAATGGATAACCTCTGTGCTCCCCAAATGCACTGGCCAAAAAGCCCAGGGACAGAGTCTTCTCATGAACCTAACTAAGTAGTTACAGAGAAATGAGTTTCTCCTGAGGCCAAAAAAGAGACCCATGGAAGGCTATTTTTCTTGGGCTCATGAAAGAAAACTTAAGTAAAAGAAAATAAAAAGTCTACCTTATCTCCTAATTAGTAGAGAGTTTCTGGGTAGCTAAATAATTTAATCCCTCTTTCCAACTTTGAAAAATGGAGCTGCTTTAACAGCTCTAATGTACAGGGAAAAAAATTTTTTAAATTACATTACAACATCATAGCAGGCTCTTGGCAATTTCTAACTTGTTCAGTGCTGAGATTTCTTAAAGAGGTAAAGCATCTTTTTTCTTTTTTCTGCAACACTCACACAAGTCAATATACACCACTGGTAAGCTGTCACATAGACACCAGCATGGTTTACCTGGGCTAGCAGCACCAGGGCAGAGAGGGGCTGGGTGCTGAGCTAGTCCCAGCAGCCACGACCATTCTTCAGACCTAGGCTCCCACCAGCCCCATCTGGGCTTGACGGATGGATCAGTGTGCCAGGATTAAAGGCCATGACAAGAGGAAACCGGAGTCAGCTTCTACTCTGAGGTTACAAACTGAATTAACTCAATAGGGAGGAGTCAGGGTGGGCAAAGTAAAGAGCAGTGCCCCCTTCTGAAGGCATTCAAATTTAAACTTTCAAAAATGCTGTGTATGTCAAACAAAACCCAGTGTGGTCCAGAAGCTGCCTCGGTCTCCCTGTGGTGACATCTGGGCCATACGCAGATCATGCAAGGGCAGGATCAGAGCATCACAGCCAACGCCGTTCCCAGCAGGACGTGCAGGGGGCATGGAGGGTGGGCAGGGGTGAGGAGGGCAGGGATTGGACTAAGATGTGGAAAAACAGCAGACCTGGCCTCCCATTCCACCTCGTCCTAGCTACAGACTGTGCTCACAAAGTGCAAGCATTTGGGGCTCTAGTCCCCCACTGCCAGTGAACACTCTTGAGATCGGTGGGAAAGGGTATTTCTGTGCATCTCATTTTTCACAAGAGCCTTTGTAGATCAGTGTTTTGCTCAGAGAAATGTCATAAGTCTTAGTAATTTGGGAAAGGTCACATTACACTGGGAAGTAATCTAAATTCTAAGCAATGCCTTATTACTCAAAAGCTCATATATTAATAAAACAGGGCTCCCAAATAGAAGTATTGTTGGGTCTGCTTTAATGATTAGTACGTACAGTATTGGCAATAGCTACCACTGGGGATAATTAATAAATGCATGGTACTGCACTAAGTTGTTTAAAATTCATTATCTTAGGGCCGGCCCGGTGGCACACACGGTAGAGTGCAGCGCTTGGGAGCGCAGCGGTGCTCCCGCCGAGGGTTCGGATCCCATATAGAGACCGGTCCGCTCACTGGTTGAGCGCGGTGCGGCCGCGACACCAAGGGTTGCGATCCCATTACTGGTCACAAGAAAAGACAAAAAGGAAAAAAAAAATTCATTATCTTATTTAATAAAAGAACCTCATTTTGTAATTAGCACATGCTTTCTTGGATGACCTCTGTGATCTTGATTCATAATCCTTTTGCATAGTTTTGTCAGAGAATTAAAATATATATATATATATATATATATATATTATGTCAGCACCGATTGGCCCTGAACACAAGCTCATTGGTTTGTGTTTAGGTTTAAGGATTGTCCAGCTCTGGATATGATCGAAGTCACAGGTGCATGTATTTAATGCCCACAGCCCTCTCCATGTTCAGGAAAGGGCCTCCCTGACTGTGTTTTGGGCAAAGGTGACAAGAAAGAGATGAATGTACAGGTCCCAAGTCCACCCCCTGGCACCCTAGGACTGTAGGAACACGCTTGGGACCCCATGGCTGCCTTGGCCTCTGCATCTCCCTCTCTCTCCCATGCCACTGCCCACAACAGTGGTCTGCTGACATGTCACGCCCTTCCCTTCCTCTGTCCCAGCTGGTCTGCCCAGTCACAGTGCTCCCGCCTCCTCCCAGCCCAGAGCCATTTGGGGCCTCCCCCCCCAACTGTCAATTCCTTCCTGTCCTCTCTTGTGCTCGCCCAAGCTGCCAGCCTTGTCCAGCCCCTCCAGCCATGTGCCCAGAATCCCCCTCCCACCCTGCCCATCCCTCCATCCCACTCTTGGTAAATCCAGCACCTAACCATGAAGGGACAAGGTAGTTTCCTTCAAGCAATGGGACTCTTTTCAAATCTAATCTTCCTGGTAATGCTAAATGACTGATGAGAGGGAAGGGAGCAGACAGAGCATCTTCCCCAGGCCCCAGAGCCCCGTTCGGGCTTCCCACGATTTCTAATCCCCATGCCCAGCCCATCCCTCCCGCCCTCGTCAGAGCTTCCCTGCAGCACGTGCACAGCACGCAGGTGAGCTCCCCTGTGAAGCCGGCTCCCAGCCTCAGCTGCGCACCCACGGGGTTTGGAAATCCCGCCCTATTTGGTCTGAGAGGAAGGAATCTTTGAGGAAGAAAAGCTCAGGTGTGGGAGAAGGTCTTTGCTGTCAGCAGGTGGAAGGGCACTTCTGTCTCTGAGCCAGGAAGGGGGAGATAGATGGGCAAAGGAAAGGACTTTGGGGTCAGAGCTAGAATTTAAGGGAGCTCACATCAGATGGCTTTGAACTCTGCAGAGCTGGAGTCAGGACTAAGATTCTGGAGTGTGCAAAAGTTTGACAATGCTGTGTGGGCAGCATCAGAGTCATGGAGTCAACTGGAACTCTCTGGAGGGCTCCCAGGTGGCATCAGTGTCCTTCCATGTCACCATTCTGTTTTCCATTTTTCTAAATGTTGGGTCTGATACTTTTATGAAGAGGTGTTCAGACTCTGTTAAGTCAGGAAATATCAACTATTCCTTCCACGTGAGTGGAAGAGTAAAGAATAAGGAAAAAATAGGCCAAAATCCCAAAGGATGTGGCACTCTTGATGGGAAAGGTTTTTGTTTGGGGGTCTTCCTTTTAGTTTTTGTCTTGGTTTGATTTTGTTGTCTTGTTTGATTTTTAGACACCCCCCCCCCCACACACACACACACACACAGGAGTCCAGTCTCTTATCTCTATGGTGCATAGGGCCCCGTGGTCATAGGTAAGCAAGAAGTTTTCCATTTCTCCTAAGGAATGGAAAAGGGCGAAGGAATGAAACTCCAGGCTAGATACGGGGTGAGCTTCCCCGGCTTCTTCAGGAAACCCTGAGTCCAGGGCTCACGTCACATACAGAACCCATTTTCCTAGAGCACCAGAAGAGGACCCCACAGAAACCCTCCCACAGGCAGGGAGGAGACTGGAAGAGCCTAACTGAGGGTCTCTAGTGGACCCTTCCTGCATGCGCACCTGGCTCCCAGCTGGGAGATCTCTTAGATCAAGTCAGGCACCAACCCCCTGCTGCCCACGTGCCAGTGCCTTGTGCAGATGAGGTCATTTCACCCCACCGAATGCAGGGACTCTCTGGCATTAGGGGCCTATACCTCCCAGTCCAATGAGAATATCTGGTTAAAGGTAGGACTTTCGAGCTGGCCAGGTGGCGCACTGGAGAGTGTGCCACTTGGGAGCGCGGTGGCACTCCCGCTGAGGGTTCAGATCCCATGTGGAGACCGGTTCCCGCTCACTGGCTGAGCGTGGTGCGGGTGCAACACCGAGGGTTGCGATCCCGTTACTGGTCAGTATAAAAAGACAAAAAGGAAAAAAAAAAAAAGGTAGGACTTTCAGGCACTCCCAGTCCTTCACATCCTTCTGAATCCCCTTAGTGAGATAAATTACACTCAATGTACTTCTGTGTTAGTGATCAATATTTGCGTCCTAATTATTTGGAAAAATTAACAGGTCAGCATGTGCCATAATAGATCAGAGTATGTGTCTGTCCACAATGTCCATTCACTACCCATGCTAAATGGGAGAGTTTTAAGACGTTTTCCTTCAGTTCAACCACTTGTAATCACCAGACATTTTGTTTCTGGAGAACATAAGCTTAGTGACACTGAGACAAATGTGTATTTTGTTATTTGGTTCCAGTTGCTGGTGTACATATGGACTCTAGCAGCTCTGTGGTTGAATTATCTATCTGCCTGTCACTGGATCCTTACTAAGTGTTCTTATGACAAATCGTGCTGTACGTTTAGTTTGATAGTGCTGGCCCCCAACACAATCACTGCTAATCCATACTGACAGAAAAGGGGTGGGAGAAAACTGTGCCTGCCTGCCCAGTGCTGGTCACTGGTTAACATGCTGCCCTGACCCCTCACATGGCCCTGAGAGATGAGTTCTGTTGCCCCTGGTACAGATAAGAAACTGAGGCTCAAAGCGAAGTGATTTCCCAGCGCCAAACACAGGTTAAGGATGTGGACCCAGATCCACCCGACAAAGCCCTACCCCGGCCTCTTCGTGTGTCACCCTGGGTCATTTACCTAGGCTTAGGCATTTCAAAGTCTCCATACAAAATGGCATTTCATCATCCTTACCCGTTTTCCATTTCATTGCCAGCAAAATCATGTT